TTTCATTTTTCATAAAACTGAAAATGTTATCTATCGACTCTTACTATAATTGGAACTTATAATCTAATTCGAAATTTTCTTATTACTTATTCTAATTCAGCCTTCAACATGGCAAGCGTCTCAATAGAATTCAAATTGCCAACAATTACCCGGCAAACGCAATAATAAGAAAATGAATAGAACGCTGCCTTCAAAATGTTGTTACGTAGGCGAAAAATTCTATGGAACGCCCAATCCACAATATTGCTCCAGTGTTACATTATGAGTTACCGAATGAACTTTTAATACATCAAACACACCCACACAAAGACTTACACACTCAAACATGAGAATCTAAATCAGTTGGATTCAATAAAGGAATATTTTGGCAGCGAAGGTGTGTAGTGGCGAGCAACGATTTTCGGATAACTTTCAATAAAAATTATGTTTGTCTAATAAAAAAACCATTAAAACCGCAGCGCTTAATCTCTTCGTGGCATTTACACAGACAATTCAATTGAGATTTGGATCTTTTGTATTTTTTTTATTGCTTAGATGGGTGAACGAGCTAAGTAGTTACTGGAACCCCTAGACATTTACAACGTAAATGCGCCACCCACATTGAGATACAAGTTCTAAGGTCTCAGTATAGTTACAACGGGTGCCCTACCCTTCAATCCGAAACGCATTACTGTTTCACGACGGAAATAGGCAAGGCGGTGGTATCTACCCGCACAGACTCACAAGAGGTCCTACCACTAGTAATCAAGATGTCATATGTCTATGGGCTCCGGTAACCACTTACCACCAGGTGGAATCTGGGGCTGTTCACCCGTCCGTGCAATAAAATAAAATGAATTTGTATGAGATCTCAAATCATCGCCCTTTTCTGCTGAGACATCTGTAAACGCGAACCCTCACAGAGTTTATACAATGATATTGTAAAATACTTGTCTTATTTCAAGGACCCGCCCTGGCTTGGTCACTACAATACAAATTGCGATCGATTCTAAGCCCATTAAAACAGATTAATGAAAATCACAATAATATGGAAAACAGAATCTAATTTACAGCAATTACACCCATATGGTTGCCAGGGAAATAATTAGTCTTCAATATTCAGTTGGTAGCGAGTAATACCGAAATGAATCGATTAGCGAGTAGGAAATTGCTTTAGCTAACAGTAAAGTTATTACCCGCACAGTCAGCTGTCGCCATACCATTGTCAACATAAACTGTATACACGCACAATTAGGTCTGATAAATCTAAATGATAATGTTCGCTTAACAAAAACACGCCGCGTACCATCCGGCTGTGGAATGAGCTCCCCTCCACGGTGTTTCCCGAGCGCTATGACATGTCCTTCTTTAAAAGAGGCTTGTGGAGAGTAAGCGGTAGGCAGCGGCTTGGCTCTGTCCCTGGCATTGCTGAAGTCCATGGGCGACGGTAACCACTCACCATCTGGTGGGCCGTATGCTCGTCTGCCTACAAGGGCAATAAAAAAAAAGCCGTTTTTGTTTAAAGCAAGCGAATTTCTGAAATAGAAATAGTACCTAAAGTTAATGGTTAGTGCTTATTCAGCTTCCTCGTCGTGAATATGAAACCTACGATCAAACAAAACCTCGGAATTCAAGACACTTTATTCTTTGCGCGAAGAAAAGAAAACGTTTTCATGTGGAAAAATATTTTTCTAAATCAATGGATGCCAGAACATTGTTACAATTTCAGCGGTTCATGAAGACGAAAACAATAAAGCAATCGAAAGATTGGAACTTTGCAAAAATGTAATTATATAAACGACTATAAATATAAAACGTAAACCTTAAAACACTTTTAAATGCTGTAAAGAAAATTCAATAGTTCCTAAATAATTCATAATATTATAATAATCAGATCAAAAAGGTTTAGAAGTCAGACATGTGTAATTCGTTTGCAAGTCAATACGCTTCACACACCAAATGTGACATCGATAATATATTAAACCCCAAGAATTTAAGATGCCGAGAAAAAACCAAAACTTTTTTTTTCATATTTAATAGAATTGGATGACTACATTAATAAAATTGGAAATAAGCATAGAGGGCTGATAGTTTGAACTGGTGCTCAACGGAATAATAAAATCAAATATAATTTAAAAAATATAGTTAGGGCATATTCTAAGTCGTTACCTACCACTCTGCCTCTTATTACCGTGAAACAGTCGGCGCAAGTTGGAACATCAGTTTTACAATATATTTGAATAGGCAATCTCCTCCCCGTAGTGGTTACGGGGCAACCTGAGGGAGTCAAGGCTGCGCCACACGCTACCGTCACTCCAGCCTTATGACACTACTAAACTAAAAAATATCCTTAGGGCCGCAGTCTGCTCCCAACATCTGTGGACCGTGAACTGCCTTTTTTTTTCCTACCTACCTCGAGAGGCTATTTCAGCGTAACCTTAACTAATAGGTGAGCTCACGGGACTCAAACCTGACGGACGTTGCTAACATGAACCCTAGCAAGAGCCGTGCTTCGCAGAATCTACCAACGGATCGGAAACGCGACCCACTGAGAAGATCCGCCGGGAAACTCAGTGGGCACAACTGCCGCATACCCAGCGTGCCCCCTAAGCGCGGATATCTCGTACAAGGTACGGTACCTTCCCGAAAAAAAAAAGTGGCGGTATAACTTTGTGATATTTATGGGCATCAATAACTAACTAAACAACAAAATTATCATGTTTATGATTTTAATTGAATTTTTTGTATGATTCAAAGTGCCAATAACGCTACCTGCACAAACAACTACGTAAGACACATTTATATCCCGTATCAAAATGAACGATAGATATAATAACTAATTTAACTAACTAATTTGTTAATAACAAAAACGATATAAACGTAATTCAAAGAACACAGCAATTTACTAAATTTTTTAAATAATAAATCATTTGTCGATGGTCACTTGGCCGCAAGTGTACAATCTTTGTGCCTCTCAGTCGCGTTTCGCTATCTTTTATCTGCTATTTCTATGTTAATGGAAATTTTCGTATTCATCTAACATCGAACAGTTTAGAAACGATTCACATACTTTTATTTGTGTGTTTATAAATAGATATGACTATTTTTGTACACAAATAACTATTTTCTATGGGCTCCGATAACAACTTAATACCGCAGGTGGGCGTATAAGACGGATAAGTCTATAAATAGGTTATTAAAACGATAGCTGATGATCGGAACGATATCATTCTGTCTGTTCTAGTAAATTCTGCATAATTATGATTATTGTATCGCGTTACAGTTAGATAAATCGGAGATAATACTTATTTTTCTATTGCGTAGATAAGTAGACGAACTGGCAACCCACCTAGTATAAAGAGCTTAACCGATATAGAAATATGTAGTAATAACCACATTACAAATAAGGTTTTGTTATTCTTATCGACGCTAATCCGGTGTTAAGTGGTTATCTATGTCCCATGCATCATTAATCATGAGTCATGGCTACCCTACCCCTCCAACTGGAACGCGTTACTGCTTGGCGACAGAAATAGGCAGGGTGGTGGTACCTACCCGTGCGGACTCACAAAAGGTCCTACCACGAGTACCAGAGGTCGAAGTATCAGTTTTATGGTATAGAAGCTTTACTGTATAAATAGGCAAGATGGTGTTACCTACTTTGACTGGTTTGCATTACGATTGGCGAAAACAGTACCCTGGGATAATACACAGAGGACGCATTCTCTGGTAAATGCCTTAGTCAGCTTTTACGACGCCCGCGGAAAGAGATGGGGTGGTCCTTTTCTATGCCTAGTGTATTGGTTTTCCAAGTATAAGACTTGTGAAACCAAGGGGTGCGGCTGTTGACAAACTAATTGGTTTCCTAGGAAAAAATAAAAGAATGTTCTATTTCTTTTTATCTGGTTTGAATAGACTATACTTTTTTTTAAGTCAAGTAATCTCTAAAAGCCTTTGAAACAAACGACATGAAAACAAAACCTTACAGCGGCTGCAATTTACATTTTTCTCTCGCCATATAGAAAAGCGGGCATTGAGACTAGCGCTGGGAAACTAAGTACAATCTAGGACACGATTTAAATACGCTAAAGATCACTGCATACACAAAATTACACATTTTGAGTGTTTATCTAAGGGATCATTGTAGTCTTATTTTTATTAATTAATTAAATCTCTGAACTAATTATATTTTTATGTAGATAGCCAAAAGAGCTGGGCCAACTAGGCGGCAAGTAGTTTTGGCAACTTGGACACTGCAGATCCACTCCGGGATATGTGGCCTCAATCTCAAATTACTGGTGGTAGGACCTCTTGTGAGACCGCACGGGTAGGTACCACCACCTCGCCTATTTCTGCCGTAAAGCCGTAATGCGTTTCGGTTTGAAGGGTTGGGCAGCCGTTGTAACTTTACTGAGACCTTAGAACTTACATCTCAATGTGGGTGGCGCATTTACACTGTAGATGTCTATAGGCTCTGGTAACCACTTAACACCAGGTGGGCTGCGAGCTCGTTCACCCATCAAAGTAATAAAAAGAATAATAAATCGCTGTACAACTTTCTACCTTCTCAACGCTTCGCTGCACAAATAGACATGATGGTGATACCTACCCGTGTGGCCTTTTAACACATCGATCACCAGTAAAAATACCATGTTGCCATTCACCACAAGTCCCAAAACATAAAACACCAATTTTATTGATATATTACACGACTCTACAAAAAAAATTTCGTTCTTTGTCCTAAAGTTTATACTATTATTTTCCAGTTAGTTATGCACAAAAACGAAAAGAAAATACCTTTTTTCGGTATAAAGTTTGCTTTTGTGATAGTTATAATAATAATACTCATTTTTCAATTTTTTCATAAATTTTAATTGATTTTAATATTTTTAAAAAGACCGCGCGGTGAGAGTGGGGTATTAATGATTACACTGTGCCGCTAGATGGCACCCGAGTGATAAACAACCATCAGGTGTTATTTACAAGCCCAGAATAACTTAAAAGAAAATTAAGAAAGTGTCAAAATTTTGCTTGAATCTGTAAAGTATCGTGAGTATAACTGGGAGCTGATTGGAGATTTTAAAATGGTGGGATTTTTAATGGGGCTACAGGGTGGATATACAAAGTATCCGTGTTATTTGTGCTTGTGGGATAGCAGAGCGGATTCTAAACACTATATTCAACGGTCATGGCCTGTAAGAACAGAATTGTGTGTCGGAAAACAGAACGTCAAATTTGAGCCGATTGTTGAAGCGGAAAAAGTGTTAATGCCGCCTTTGCACATTAAGTTAGGGTTGATGAAACAATTTGTTAAAAAACTGGATGAAACTTCAGAAGCTTTTGGATACTTAAAAAATTTTTTTCCGAAGTTATCGGAAGCAAAGGTTAAAGCTGGGGTTTTTGTTGGTCCGCAAATAAGACAGATTTTCGCCGATGAAAAATTTCCAACGTTGCTGAATCGTACTCAAAAAGCAAGTTGGAACAGTTTTAAAGCAGTAGTTTCTGGATTTTTAGGAAATAATAAAGCTGAAAACTACGAAAAGTTGGTTGAGGATATGCTTACAAATTTTAAGGCCATGGGCTGCAGGATGTCATTAAAAGTACATATGCTGCATGCTCATTTGGATAAATTTAAAAACAATATGGGAGCCTATTCCGAAGAGCAAGGAGAACGTTTCCATCAGGACATCATGAATTTTGAACAACGCTATCAAGGCCAATACAATGAAAACATGATGGGCGACTATATTTGGGGTTTATTGAGAGAAAGTAGCTATGAACATAAAAGAAAAAGTAAAAGTGTGCACTTTTAAGTTATTTTCCACTTTTCTGTAAGCTAATTTGATAGTAATACTTAATAAAAATAATAAACATTTTTATTTTCAATCAAAAATTAAAATCAGAGATTTTTAAAAATTTCGTTCAATCAGTCTTCTAAGCACAAAAGCAAAGTTTTTCATGCCATATATTTTTTTTCCGTCTTATTACGACCTAAACTACCGAAATTTAATGCTTTGCAATCAAAGTCAAATTTCATGTTGACCCGTGTTATGTATGTGGGAACGGAATGGTATGGATGAATAACAATTTTGGAGCATGATTGAGTGAGAGAGATGTCGTGTTAGGAAGTAAGAAAGACGGCGAATGAATGCTGAACACATAGTTATATTTTTTAAGTGAGAGGAGGGTAGTTACCGGACGCGACGGCAGACAGAAGCGGTGTAAATCTGAAGACGTAAGACGTTTATGTTTTTGTTACATAGATTAAGAAAGACGTAATAAAAATGAAGTTTGTGTTAAGTCAACAACTGTTTCCCTGGCCCCATGTGAATAGAAAACCCCATAGGATGAAACCGGACTACAACCGCAAAATCTTTTCTAAAAACGTTTTCTTTAACTACACAATTTACACCTTTATTTGGTTCAGTAAGTCTCACCTTATCAGCATCTCATCAATATTTCACACTACGCACCTCCACAATACATACGCTCCTGAATAATTCTAGTTGCAACCCTTCCCTACAAGCACCTCAAGATCGTAAGGGCTTCTATACATTGTGTAGACGCGAGATAAGCAAATTACGAAATATTTGAAATTTGGTCGTTGCAAATGAAGGACACAGACTGCGGGAAGAAACGATAAGAAGCGGCAGTTCTGCGTTAAAGGAAGGATGCACAATACCTTTATGTAGTCCTTACTGCAGACTCGTACCACTTCGCGATGAGAAACACCAACGATTTCACTTATTTACGTATTTAACATAACAAAGACACGAAGCGCGCGCGCGGTTGTTCAGCCATATTTTTTCGTCTCGATGTCACCACACGATCTCGCTCGCACGCGTCCGTAGGTAAAAGTGCCGGAGAGGGATGGGACAGGATTTGCAAAACCAAATTAAAATGTTGCTATTTTTCGAAACTTAAAACTAACTAAGTTTTAAACCAGCGCAACCACATTGAGCATGTGATAGACAGGTTAAAGCTTGGATGAAACGTATCCTTTTATTTCTCCAATAAAACTTTCAACTACCTAATTGAAAAGCAAGCACTGGTTACCGTTTTGAACGTAACGTCTTTAGGCAAGTTTAAGTAAAAAAAGTGGTATCTTTTTATATTTTTTATTGCATACATAGGTGGACGAGCTCACAGCCCACCAGGTGTTAAGTGGTTACTGGAGCCCATAGACATCTACAACATAAATACCGCCACCCACTTTAAGATATAAGTCTTAAGATCTCAAGTTACAACGGCTACCCCACTCTTCAAACCGAAACGCATTACTGCTTCACGGCAGAATTAGGCAGGGCGGTGGGACCTACCCGTGCAGACTCATAAGAGGTCCTACCACCAATAATAGAAATAGCGACAGCAATAGAAATAGCATCTAGAAATAGAGAGATTTTCGAATTCACCTTTGCCTTTCATACTGGTAAATCGTTAAAGCGAAATAAATTATACAAAATTAGGGAAATGCGGCAACGTTTTGCTGTCAGAGCTGAATACATGAAATTCATACATCGCACATTACATAACACGAACATTTAGTAGAGCGCAAACAACAACTGTACCAAGTTTTAATTGATTTGGATAAATACCAGTAAACGCTTAGAGTATGGACAAATAGACAGACCTAAACATATGTTTATAAATTAGATGCCCAGAACTCACCTTACACTCTCTCACCGACGTCCAATCTCTATCGAGGATCATAACCCAGACGGAGTAGGGGGCTACCGGTGGTCAACACTACTCAACATAAGCCAACACGCTCAAACCATCAAATTCATAAACACTTACTCTTCAAAAGGGAATCGAACCCGAAATTGAACATTATTGTATATCTTAGTGTGCGTTACACCTTACTTGACCTACTTCCCTCAAAAGGCACGTACTTAATATCAACAAAGACTTTACCTTCATTGTTCAGTTTACGATTCATATTATTTTATGTGATTGAATAGAAAAAACGTTCATCAGTATGCAGTCAAGAGGGTAATACAAATTGACGCCAAAAAAAAACCCATGCATCAGCCCGCTGAGTTTCTTGCCGGATCTTCCGGTAGTAGATCCATTCGCCAAGCAACTGCTCTCGAGTTGCTAGGTCTCCTTCGGAGGCGCTCGGGCAGCTGTTAGCTAATCCAGGTAGGTGTCCTGGCTGAACTTTTTTGCTCGCTCACCTGTCCTGGTGAAACTGGAAAGGCCTATCAATCTAGTGCACTTCACACTTGCAACTGAAGTGCGAACTATTGGCCGTTTCGATCTTGAAAGAGCTGGTACAACAACAGAGTTGTCTAAAACATCAGGAGCACCACCTTAGTGGCGTGACCAGCCGCCGACCGTGATTACTGGTGTAGAGTCATCGATTCGCTTCGCCCACTCCGCTGGTCAGGCTTCCTTAAGTTGAACCGCGCGTCTGGTGACCTGGTGGTGCAGTGACCGTAGTTAGCCTTCCTGTCTGTCCCGGATGTCTCTAATATGGATCGGATGCCCGGATGAGATTACAGGGAAGTAGTTGGCTACGACAATGACACGTATACCACGCGTCACTCAGAGATCTCGTGCAAAGATTCGGCCCCAGCAAAAAAAGGCTGTACAATCTTTGATCTTTACGTCTTATTTTTTTTCCTTTGGATTTGTGCACCAAGCAAAGATAAATTAGAAACCGCAGCAGGTGGTTATGAAGTTCTTTAGAAAAAAATTAGTCTGTTTAGTTTTATTTCATTTTCTTCGTGAAAACTACGATTTACCACAACATTGTCTCAAAATGCATTTAAAATTCAAAGCTCAAAGACTTATTTTTAAACAGCAAAGGAGAGCATCGTTTTTGAGTGAAAAGATTTTAAATGAATTCTGTTTGCGATGCAGTGTATAAGATTTCTTTATTTTCGATAAGAAATAATACCACCATTAACTTCTTTGCAATGCTCTGTTACATGTTTGAAGTTTTAAAATTATTATTACATTTATTTCTTCGTTTGTTTTAATTTCTAAATCCGCTTTTCTTTAGAATCATAATGTCATTTCTATTAGATAAATGTTTACTGTTTTATTTTTCCCGATGCGAATCTCTAAATCTTAATCCCAATTACCACAAGTACTACAGAGCATCACTTGAAAACGGCTCCATCCATTTGGCAGATTGTATTCCTAATTAACAAGAGAGAGTTTGTGTAAATTTTTTATAGAAAAATCTGTTCAGGAATATTCCTTTGGGGAAGATGGCGTGTCAAATCGCTTTAAGCTCACGATTCAAATGCTTGTTGTTCTAAACTTGTATATGTGCAAATTTATCTGGTAAATGTTAGCGCTATTCATGCTTTTGCAGGGCTACGTACATTCTATTATAACTTAAGTTTTATAAATTTTATTTCCTTTTAGTCTTGATAAACGATAGGCTAATGTCGAATTGTGTTGGATTGACAAATATTTTTCAATTTAAAACTTATCAGCTTTCACACTATTTGCTAAAAATAAATAGGATTGTCTGTTAGTTTATATGAAAATCTCTCACTCGCACAGCCTCGCCTACGTCACAAAAGATAGAGATAGAATGGGGCGAGATCCCCCCAAGAAAGCATGCAATGTACTTCCGCGCTCGATGCTTGATCATTATTTTGCGGAGATGTTTTAAAACTTATATCTCCCAAAATGTAAATAAAAAAATCATTGAAGTCAAATTATGCAAGGACGAATTTGTTAAAAATAATAATATACTTGTGATAAATAAGGTAATTATTTCATAAAAACTCCTTCACAAATAATGCATTATTTTAGAATAAGCTTGGGCACCATTAAAACGGTAATAGTGGGTATACCTAAAAAGATAAACATATTCTATTGCGGACTTTTTTTAGAACTTTTTAAGAGGAATAATTCAGTCATACATGAATGTTGTGTAACTTTAACCGTTCACGCAGTACATGCAATGGAAGCTCTTAAGAGGAATAATTTTTTCTCGTTTTTACGACAGGTTTCCTTGATCCCCCGCTCCTATTAATTAATCATAGCATGATGTTATTATTTAGCCTATATTCTTCCTCGATAAATGGGCTATTCAACAATAAAATATTTTTTAAATTCGAACCAGTAGCTTAGCGCTTAGCACATTCCAACAAACAAACAAACAAGCCAACAAACATAATTTTTTTTAAAATATTATTATAGATAAAAGTGTATGCTGAATAGATTGTATTCTATAAATGAAGGCTACCACTATTATCTGTGGTTGTTCTATGAAGCTCTTTTGTCGAAAGCTCATCTATTAGAATAGAATATGTTTATTTAGATAGTTCAAAAAAGTATTTTGGTCCTGAAAGTTACAAAAAAAGCCGTTAGTTACCTTGTGCGTATCACAATTTTATTAAACTTATTAAAAAAGTAATTTAAAAAGGCTAACTGTCTATTATAGCTTAGTGTATTTTTCAAACAATACTTTTGACTGGCTTAACAAACTTCAATAAGTTTTCACACCCGAAGATCTAGGTAATGTCTTAAGAAGTCAGTTTTTGAGACAAGTTATAGCTTCTGTCAATTCCTAAACGTTATTTCATCAGCATGTAATAGTATTACGTATTCTGCAGCTTTTCTTTCTATCGGCTCAGTGAAATTTCCGTAAAATCTCGTCTTCTTTCCATAAATTAGCATACGCTTTCATTTTATTATCGTATTTTGTACTTACTTTTATGTTATCTTGAAACCGATGCATTAGTTTTTATTGCATGTGTTCCATATGAGCGAAAGGTCTTATTCCCAATGCGTTCTGCACTGGTATATAATTTATTTAGACTTGATACTTGTAAATATTATCAGAATGGAAAGATTTATGGTAGGCAATTCTGGT